GCTTCTCGCTGTTTCTTTCGTGACCGCACTGCCCTAGAGCAGCTTGCTCGGCTGGTTGCTGTCTCCCTCGCTGACCCCTCTGGGGGTCCGGTCATTGCGACCTCCTCCACTGTCCTCCCTTGTCCTATGGTCCCGTCGGGCACACTGTCAGGTCTCTACCTCCCCTCGTTCTCTACGAACTTGGTGGCGGGTTGTGCGCTCCAGGACGGGGGTGTCCACCAGTTCACCCCTGCCTACGAGCGCGTGACACACTGCACGTGTGCTCGGACGGGCCGTCACCTGGCTACCTTCACTCGGCAGCCGGGGTCGGACCTGTACACACTGACCACTGAGTCCCCTCAGGTAGCTGCGTCTGCGTCTGCGTCAGGTCAACTGTCGCCCCCCTGCTCGTGTCGCTCCCTGGCGCACGAGACCGTCCTTTGGCACCACCGCCTTGGTCACCCGTCAGTGCAGCGCCTTCGTGGCATGCACAAACGGTACCTTGTCTCTGGTCTGCCCAGGGTTCTCCCTCCCCTCCCACCCTCGCCTGCTCCTCCTTGTCTTCCCTGTGTCGAGGGGCGGCAGCGCGCCGCTCCTCACTCCTCCTCGTTTCCCCCGACGACTGCTCCCCTGCAGACGCTCCACATGGACGTGTGGGGCCCAGCCCGCGTTCGTGGACAGGGTCACGAGAGGTACTTCCTGATAGTTGTTTGACGACTACTCGCGCTACACCACGGTCTTCCCCTTGCGCACCAAGGGCAAAGTCCCTGATGTTTTGATCCCTTGGATCCGCGCTGCCCGTCTCCAGCTTAGTGAAAGGTTCCACTCGGACTTTCCTGTCCTGCGTCTGCACTCTGACAGAGGTGGGGAGTTTTCCTCCGACCTCTTGAGGGCCTACTGTCAGGGGCAGGGCATTGAGCAGTCGTTCACGCTTCCGGCCTCTCCACAGCAGAATGGGGTTGCTGAGCGCCGCATTGGCCTGGTCATGGAGGTCGCTCGTACCTCCTTGATCCATGCAGCTGCCCCCCACTTTCTGTGGCCGTTTGCGGTCCGATACGCTGCGCATCAGCTCAACCTCTGGCCCCGTGTCTCCGCTCCGGAGACTTCGCCGACACTGCGTTGGACGGGAGAGGTTGGCGATGCGTCTCGTTTCCGGGTCTGGGGATCTCGAGCTTTTGTTCGCGATACGTCCGCGGACAAGCTCTCCTCCTGCGCTGTTACTTGTGTCTTCCTTGGCTTTGTCCCGGACGCGTCTGGTTGGCAGTTTTACCACGCCACCTCGCGCCGTGTCCTGCCTTCTCAGGACGTCACGTTTGACGAGTCGGTCCCCTACTACCGCCTCTTCCCCTACCGCACTGCCCCACTCCCCCCCCCGCCTCTCTTCCTCGCACCAGGTGCTGCTGTGGTAGACCCCCTCCCCCCTCAGGGTGCCGCTCCCTCAGGTGTGTCCTAGGTAGACCCGGTTGAGCCTGTCGAGGTAGCTGTGGACTCTCGTCCTGCTAGGGGTGCTGAGCCTGGGGGTGCGGAGCCTGGGGGTGCGGAGCCTGGGGGTGCTGAGCCTGGGGGTGCGGAGCCTGGAGGTGCTGAGCCTGGGGGTGCGGAGCCTGGGAGTGCGGAGCCTGCGGGTACGGAGTCTGGGGGTGCTGAGTCTGGGGGTGCTGAGTCTGGGGGTGCTGAGCCTGAGAGTGCTACGTCTGAGGGTACTGAGCCAGAGGGTGCTGCGACTGACCGTGCTGCACCTGGAGGCGCTCCCTCCTCACAGCAACCGCGGGAGTGGTACTTGCAGTACTGCAGCCTCCGGAGGGGCGCTTCTGGAGCTAGGGGTGCTGCTGGAGCTGGTGCTCGTGGTTCCCCTCCTCGTCGGGAGCCGCCCTCTCCCCAGCGGCTCCGAGAGTGGTACGCTCGGCGCTGCAGTCTCCGGAGTGGCGCTACTGGTGTCGCGGACCCTGGAGCTGGAGCTGGTACTGGTGTTGGTGCTACTGACGCTGGAGCTGCTGGAGGTGCTGGAGCCTCTGCTCCTGGAGGTGCTCGTACAGGCGGTACTGGAGCTGCTGGGACTGGGGGTTCTGCTGGATCTGGAGCGGCTGGAGGTGCTACTGGTGCTGGAGCTGCTGGTGGTGCTGCTGGAGGTGCTGCTGGTGCTGGTGCTGCTGGAGGTGCTCCTGGTGCTGGAGCTGCTGGTGGTACTGCTGGAGGTGCTGCTGGTGCTGGTGCTGCTGGAGGTGCTGCTGGAGGTGCTGCTGGTGCTGGAGCTGCTGGTGGTACTGCTGGAGGTGCTGCTGGTACTGGTGCTGCTGGAGGTGCTCCAGGTGCTGGAGCTGCTGGAGCTGCTGGTGGTGCTGCGGGAGTTGTAGCTGGAGACCTTGGAGCTGGGGGCGCTGGTGCTGTCTCTGCTGGTTCAGGAGGAGCTGCGCGGCCGCGGCCGTACTACGTTCCGCTCCTTCAGCAGGTTCTTGGCCTCCCGCCCTCTCCTGGTCCTACTCCTCCCCTACCGAGTCCACCGCCTGTCCAGTCGCAGTCACAGTTACAGCCCGTCACTCCGCTGCCTGGTCCTTCTCCTTACACTGCGCCGACGAGTAGTCTTACGGAGCGTCGTGAGCCTGAGTCTCGTCCTCCGTCACCTGAGTCTCGTCCAGAGTCACCTGAGTCGCGTCCAGAGTCGCCTGTCCGCGCTGTCCGCACTGGTCGTCGTGCTCCGCGTCAGCGTCCTCCTCCTAACCTTGGCACCCACTATATGACCCTGCGTCCTTCCACTGCTCCACAGCGTGTCCCTCTGCCGTCTCCTCCTCCATCCTCTCTTCCTGACGTTGCTGACCCACCGTCTGACTCCCTTCGTGCTGCCAGTCCTACTGTCACACGTCTCCTCGCCACTGCTGTCACTGACCCTTCCTTTGAGTCCTCTGCTGCGTCTGCTCTAGTCGCTGAGCTTGTTGACTTTGTTGCCGCCTGTCGTCTAGACTACGCTGCTAGCCTTGTTGCTGAGTCTGAGTCTGTCTGTCCTCCGTCCGTCGGGGGTGAGTGTACTCTTGGTACGGACGTCCTTGAGGACAGACAGAAGGAGTTTGAGTGCTTTGCCGCTGCTTTACCTCATCTCGTGTCCATGCTGATTGCCCCTGAGGGAGACCCGGATGCACCAGACATCCCGACCCCACGCTCTTACGCAGAGGCGATGGAGGGTCCCTACTCCTCTCAGTGGCAGTCAGCCATGGACGTAGAGATGGCTTCCTGGAAGTCCACAGGCACCTACGTTGACGAGGTTCCCCCACCTGGGGCAGACATCGTCAGTGGCATGTGGATTTTCAGGGTGAAGCGGCCGTCGGGTTCTCCGCCTGTCTTCAAGGCGCGTTACGTTGCACGAGGCTTCAGTCAGCGAGAGGGAGTTGACTTCTTCCAGACCTTCTCCCCGACCCCAAAGATGACCTCTCTTCGGGTTCTGCTGCACGTCGCCGCTCAGCGTGACTACGAGCTCCACTCTCTTGACTTCAGCACTGCGTTCTTACAGGGCAGCCTGCACGAGGAGATCTGGCTGCGCCGCCCACCTGGCGTCACTGGGTCGTTCCCTCCTGGTACCCAGTGGAGCCTCCGGCGACCAGTCTACGGTCTCCGCCAGGCACCCCATGAGTGGCACGACACACTGAGGACTACTCTTGCTTCTCTTGGGTTTGCTCCTTCTACTGCTGACCCGTCACTGTTTCTACGCACCGACACCACTCTGCCGCCGTTCTACGTTCTCGTGTACGTAGACGACTTGGTCTTTGCTACTGCTGACACTGAGGCACTCGCCCACGTGAAGTCGGAGCTGCAGAAGAGACACACGTGCACAGACATGGGTGAGCTGACAAGCTATCTTGGCTTGCGGATCACCCGGGACAGAGCACAGCGCACCATCACCTTGACTCAGTCACACATGGTGCAGCAGGTCCTTCAGCGCTTCCGCTTCACGTACTCCTCGCCTCAGCCCACTCCTCTGCCTACCGGTCACTCGCTCTCAGCTCAGCCTTCGGATGAGTCCGTAGAGCCGAGTGGCCCGTATCCAGAGCTTGTGGGCTGCCTCATGTACCTGATGACCTGCACTCGACCTGACCTTGCATACCCTCTTAGCATCCTAGCACGCTATGTCGCTCCTGGCCGTCACCGGAAGGAGCACATGGATGCCGCTAAGCGGGTGTTGCGCTACTTGTGCAGTACGTCGGGCATGGGGCTTGTGCTTGGAGGACGGAGAGACGTTGTCCTCACTGGGCACTCAGACGCTTCTTGGGCTGACGACCAGGCTACCCAGCGGTCGTCTCAGGGTTACACCTTCAGCCTTGGCTGTGGTTCAGTTTCTTGGCGTTCTACTCGCTCGTATTCAGTTCTCAGTTCCAGTTGTGAGGCTGAGATCTACGCCACAGCCATGGCTGCACAGGAGTTACGCTGGCTCACCTACCTGCTGACCGACCTGGGAGAGCGGCCTCGTTCTCCTCCAGTGCTGTACGTCGACAACAAGGCAGCCCTTGCCTTGTGTCAGGAGCACAGACTGGAGCACAGAACGAAGCACATCGCTCTGCGCTACTTCCTTGCTCGAGAGCTGCAGCAGCGTGGTTAGCTTCGTCTTTCGTACGTGGCCACTCGGGCCAACACTGCTGATGTGTTCACCAAGGCGCTTCCGCCTTGTGATCATCAGCGTTTCTGTACTGCTCTAGGCCTTGTGCCTACTGTCCCTCACTTGCTCACTTCTTGACTCTGCTTGTACTATGATCTCTATATATATACCTGCATGCTTACACTTGCTAGGTTGTGATCACTGTACCTCTTGTTATATTATCAAACTGCATGTGAACTGGTCTTGTGACCACTTGCTTGTGCTCAGAATTTGTGTGGTATCCTTGAGATCCACCCAGAGTGCAGTCGCAGGACCAGGAGGTCCTGCTGAAACCGAGCACTGAGCTGACGACGGACAGCACGGATCCAGTGGATCAGAACACTGCGGACCTCCGCCTTGCTCTGCAAGGGGAAGACTGTGGTGTAGCGCGTGTAGTCGTCTACAACCAGCAAGAAGTAGCACTCTCCGCCCTGTCCAGGGACTCGGGCTGGACCCCACACGTCCATGTGGAGGGTCTGCAAAGGAGCTGTGGTCGGAGGAAACGAGGAGGAGTGATGAGCGGCGCGCTGCCGCCCCTCGACGCAAGGAAGGCACGGCGGCGCAAGCGACCTCGGGAGCGGGGGCAGGGACCTGGGAAGCCCAGAGACGAGGAGACGGGAGTGCATGCCACGAAGGCGTGGCAAGGAGGGGTGGTCAAGACGGTGGTGCCGGAGGAGAGTCTGGTGCGTGAGGAGACGACACGAGCAAGACGCAGCGACCTCAACCGTCGCAACTACCTGACCTGACTCAGCTACCAGTGCAGACTCAGTGGTCAGTGTGTACAGGCCGGACCTAGGCCTCCGAGTGAACGTGGCGAGGTGCTCACCAGTGCGCGAGTCCGTACAGATCGCCACTAGCTCGCCTCCAGGCTGGGTGATAGTGACCCACTGGTCCTGGAGGACAGAGGTAGCCACCAAGTTCTTAGCGAACGAGGGGAGGTGGAGACCTATGAGGAGGCCCGAAGGGGCCGCCGGACAAGGGAGAACAGTGGCGCCACGCGCGACTTCCGGGCCCCCGGAGGGGTCGGCCAGTGTGACAGGGACAGGGGCTGTGAGCGGTGTGACTGTGGTGCTGTCGTGGAAGAAGCAACGAGACGCACCCGAGTCGAGAGTAAAAGTGTGCAAGGCCTCCTCAGGCTCTGCACCTGTGCTAGCTAAGTCAAAAGCATCAAGACTAGCAGCCTCTACCTTGGCAACTCTGGGCACACACAAGTAACAGTCCCCCTCAACACTAGCAGAAGCAGCATACATCGCATACATGCCAGCATGGATCACGTCCCAATTACAAGCAAAGACATCTATGTACTTCTTCAGCAAAGCAAGACAGTCAGGAGTCTTCACCACGTGCTCACCATGCTCCACACGATACAGATCGTCGAGGCAAAAGAAGCAACGAGACTCGGTGTGGTCGGTGCGAGTGCAAGTCGCTCCTGGCTGACCTGTGCGACGGAAGTACCCACAGCGAGCTGGGCCATCCGAGCTGCCACGCCTGACTGCCCACTCACGAAGCTGCTGCGGCGAGAGCTGCAGCTGTCCACCCCCAGAGCCGCCTCCACCACTGGCTGCACCACCAAACGTAGCAGTGCGCGTAGTCGAGCCTCCAGCTCCACCCCCTCCAGTTCCACCCCGAGTGCCACCCCCGCCCCCTCCACCACCCCCACTGCTCCCACCACCCCCTCCACCTCCACTGCTGCCACCGCCCCCTCCTCCCCCACCACCTCCACCACGACCGCCCCTGCCACTACCACCGCCACCCCCACCTCCCCCACCACCCCCACCCTTGCCCCCCTTGCCCTTGCCGCTCTTGCGCCTCCCAGCAGGAGCAGATGCAGCACCAACCTCCTCAACACCAAGGAGGTCGACAGCAGCAGAAGAGGCAACAGAGGACACGAGCAGGGAGGGGGAGCACCCCTCGAAGACGGAGGGGAGGGGAGTGCCACGGGAGGCAGCTACAGCTAGGGCAGCAGACTCAGCCTCTAAGAGGCGTTTCTCAAACGAGTCTATGGTGACTTTGGTGGGGTCGAGAGAGAGGAAGTGATCACGAACAGCACGAAGCGTGTCAGGGAGGCGAGTCGTGAGAAAGTAGAGGGTGAGATACATGGGGGGCTTGTTCTCAGCCAGAAAGTCGGCATCTACTCTGATACCATGTTGAAATGTGAGTGACGGAATGATTGACTAAAGCAGGATGAGTGGTACAAGTAGCAACCTTAACAAAGGGTTGTACCCCATAGGGAGTGACCTACTACAGCCTAACATCACTAACATGATATAAACATGTTTTGACATTGTGCTCAACACTCTCCCACCCAGCCGAGCATGAACCATCTCTCTCGCACCTGTTTCTCTCCTAGCGTTTAGTCTATGGCCGACCCTACCGTAACCCCACTAAAGCCTACAGACATACAAATATAATTTGACACACCCCCATAGGCAAAGTGGGGGATAGCAAGAACAACCACCGGTCACAAGACCAGTCGAGCAAGAGAACAAAGCAAAGCAAAGCTCAGGGTGGATCTCAAGATCACCACGCATAGGGCTGACGTTTCAGATTTGAGGCTCCTTGACGGGATTTTGTTTTCTTCCGTTTTAGTCTGAAGGCACTTCGGCAAAAAAACGAGCAGTCTGATTGCTCAGTCTCCAGAAGTCTCAGTGTCTGTTCACTCAGGGTTGGTAGTTTCAATTCAGGGTCGTCGGGTTAGGTGCAGCGAAAATTTCAAGGAATGTTATGCAGTTGCTTGGGACTTGCAGATGCTTTGTACTTAAAATTCCGAGGAATTTCGAGGAATGTTCTGCAATTCTGTCAGATGCTTTGTAATTAACTAACAATTTCGACCCAAAGAAATGTGTCGCAATTTATAGTGTTTTGATTGGGACTTGCAGTTGCAAGTGGCCGGCAAAGGCAAGTGTTTTGATTGGGACTTGCAGTTGCAAGTGGCCGGCAAAGGCAAGTGGTGCGCGAGATGTGCAGCACTGTGCTGTACAAGACTTAATATGTTTTGTCCACATTACGTGGTTCCGGGTCCCACGCGTCATAAATACAAGGTCTCGCTGTGTGGCACTCATTGGAATTTCGCGGAAACTTTTTCCACGCGAAACTTCCAGCAAGGGGGGAAGGGAGAGGAGGGGGGGGGGGTGCTTATCGGAAATTTCGAGGAAGCTTCGTCCCGATAAACTCGCATTTAGGGACCACAGAAAGTATACTCTCTAGAGTCAGACTCCACAAACAACTAACTCTGAGGCATATTACACTGAATCAGGGGCCATAAAACAGTAAGTCTGAGGGTGGATCTCAAGATCACCACACAGTCCGAGCACAAGCAAGCGGCCACAAGGCCAGTTCACATGCAATGATATTAGAGCACAAGCACTACAGTTATCAAAACCTAGCAAGAGTAAACATGCAGGTACATAAATATCAAAGTACAAGACATAGTCAAGAGACAAGCAAGTGAGGCAGAGTAGGCACAAGGCCTAGAGCAGTGCAGAAACGCTGATGATCACCAGACCCAAGGGCCTTGGTGAAGATATCACCAGTGTTGGCCCGAGAGGCCACGTAAGCAAGGCAAAGCTGACCACGCTGCTGCAACTCTTGAGCGAGAAAGTAGCAAAGAGCAATGTGCTTCGTTCTGTGCTCCAGTCTCTGCTCCCGACACAAGGCAATCATGGCCTTGTTGTCGACGTACAGAACTGGAGGAGAACGAGGCCGCTCACCCGAGTCGGTCAGCAGGTAGGTCAGCCAGCGTAACTCCAGTGCAGCCATAGCCCCAACGTAAATATCGGCCTCACAGCTGGAACCAAGCACAGAAGACGAACGAGTGGACCTCCACGAGACAGAACAAGAGCCGAGACTGAAAGAGTAACCCTGTGACAACCGCTGAGTCGCCTGGTCGTCGGCCCAAGAAGCGTCGGAGTGTCCTGTGAGTACCACTGAGCCTCGTCCTCCAAGCACAAGCCCCATGCCCGATGTACTGCACAAGTAACGCAACACCCTCTTAGCAGCCCGCCAGTGCTCTGGTTGGGGTCTCTCGGGCGCAACGTAGCGCGTCAGGATGCTGAGAGGGTATGCGAGGTCAGGTCGAGTGCAAGTCATCAGGTACATGAGGCAGCCCACAAGCTCTGGATACGGACCACTCGGCTCTACGGACTCGTCTGAAGGTGGAGCTGAGAGCGAGTGGCCTGTAGGCAGAGTAGTGGACTGTGGCGAGGAGAACTCGAAGTCGAAGCGCTGAAGGACCTGGTGCACCATGTGTGACCGAGTCACAGTGATGGTGTGCCGTGCTCTGTCCCGGGTGATCTGCAAGCCAAGATAGCTGCGCAGCTCACCCAGGTCAGTGCAGGTGTGTTTCTTCTGCAGCTCCGCCTTCACAAGGGTCAGCGCCTTAGCGTCGGCAGTAGCAAATACCAAGTCGTCGACGTACATGAGGATGTAGAACGGCAGCAGAGAAGGGTCAGTGCGCAGAAACAGCGACGGGTCAGCGGTCGAAGGAGTAAACCCAAGAGCCGCAAGTGTCGTCCTCAGTGTGTGGTGCCACTCGCGGGGCGCCTGGCGGAGACCGTAGACTGGCCGCCAGAGGCTCCACTGGGTACCCTCAGGAAACGACCCAGTGAAGCCAGGTGGGCGGCGCAGCCAGATCTCTTCGTGAAGGCTGCCCTGCAAGAAAGCTGTGGAGAAGTCGAGGGAGTGCAGCTTGTAGTCACGCTATGCTGCAACGTGCAGTAACACCCGAAGAGTAGTCATCTTCGAGGTGGGGAAGAAGGTCTGGAAGAAGTCGACCCCCTGTCGCTGACTGAAGCCTCGAGCATCGTAACGCGCCTTGAAGGTAGGCGGAGAACCCAGCGGCCGCTTCAATCTGAAAATCCACATGCCATCGACTATGTTCGCCCCACGAGGAGGAACCTCGTCGACGTAGGCGCCATTGGACTTCCAGGAAGCCATATCTGCGTCCATGGCTGTCTGCCACTGAGAGGAGTACTCACCCGTGATCGCCTCTGCGTGAGTGCGCGGGGTCAGGATGTCTAGTGCATCCGGGTCTCCCTCAGGGCAAAGCAGCATGGACGCGAGATGAGGTACAGCAGCCGCGAGGCACTCAAGCTCACACTACCTGTCCTCAAGGACGTCACTGCCAAGGGCAAGCTCACCCCCGACGGACGGGGGACGGTCAGACTCGGACTCAGTAACAAGACTCGCGACGTAGTCGAGACGGCAGGTGGCAGCGAAGTCTACGAGCTCAGTGACTAAGGCAGATGCAGCAGTAGACTCAAAAGAAGGGTCAGTGGCAAGAGTGGCCAGGAAACGAGTGACAGTAGGACTAGCAACACGAGCAAGGTCGGACTCAGGGTCAGGAACGTCAGGAAGAGAGGACGCCGGAGGAGATGGCAGAGCAACATGCTGTGGAACAGAGGAAGGACGAAGTGCCATAGTGTGTGTGCCGGGGACAGGTGGAGGACGAGGACGACGAGCACGATTGACAGTGCGAACAGGGGAGGCAGGACGAGACTCAGGCTCACGACGCTCTGTCAGGGCAAGGAGAAGGAGCAGGCAGTGGGGAGCCAGGCAGTAACGGCGGCTATGACTGGTCAGGCGGAGGACACAGGAGAGGTGGAGTAATGCCAGTGGAAGACGGAAGACTAAGAACCTGGCGAAGTGCCGAGTCAGGTGGTGGATGACTGCGGCTTCGGGAAGAAAAACGGTCACTGCGGCGCAGTACCCACATTTTCAGAGCCTCCAGCTCCAGTACCTCCAACTCTAGCACCTCCAGCACCAGTAGCTCCAGTACCTCCAGCTACAGCACCTCCAGCACCTCCAGCTCCAGTACCTCCTGTATCTCCAGCCACAGCACCTCCGGTACCCCCAACTCCAGCACCTCCAGCACCAGCACCTCCAGCATCTACGCGAATATGATCACATTTGTTGTGTGTCCCTACCCGTTGGTTGAAGAATCTGGTGTACTGTTGGTTGAGTAACCCAATTAGACGCGCGCACCCAACTGTATATGTCGCATGGTCGCACAGTGTCGCGATACATTCACGCTTTGAGACGCGAAGTTGACTAAATGTGTAAACGCGACTCGGGAAGAATGGCATTGAGACACTTGTGACTAAACCCTTATGCAATTCAGTAGTTCGATGGTATGAACACTACAGCAGTATCGTAGTATTGTTATGCGCGCATGTTACTGTAGCAGGTGTGTCAAAATGCCTTATATGTTGTTTAGGGTGTAGTGGGGTACACTCTACTGAGTACAACCCATTAGGGTTAGCACTACTTGTACTCCTCATTCATTCTAGTCCACCATTCCTACCACATGATTCTGACATGGTTTCAGAGCACGTAGGTCCCTAGGACAGATTTTTTTTTAGGGCCCACCGTTCGTTCTACCCTGCCCGTTTTTCTGCCCTGCCCCTACCAATTGCGACCCGGCCGCCCTGCCCCACGCGTTCGCACCTGCCCTGTCTCGCGCGCTGCCCCACACGATGCCAGCGCGCTGCCCTAGGCGCTACCCGCGTGCGCAGCTGCCCGTGCTGCCCGCGACTTGCCCGCGCCTGCGCTGCCGGCGCCCCGCGCGCTCTGCTGCCTGCGTGCGCCCTGCTGCCCGCGCGCGCCTGTGCTGCCAGCGCGCCTGTGCTGCCAGCGCGCCCTACTGCCCTGCGCCCCGCGTGCACTCTGCTGCCAGCGCGCTCTGCTGCCCTGCGCCCCGCGTGCGCCCTGCTGCCCTCGCGCCCTGCAGCCCGTGCGCCCTGCTGCCCGCGCGCCCTGCAGCCCGCGTGCGCTCTGCTGCCCGCGCGCGCCTCTGCTGCCCTGCGCCCCGCGCGCACCCTGCAGCCCACGCACCCAGTAGCCCGCGCGCCCTGCAGCCCGCGCGCCTGCTGCCTGCGTCGCCTGCTGCCCGCGCGCGCCTCTGCTGCCCGCGTCGCCTGCTGCCCGCGTGCACCCTGCTGCCCGCGCGCGCCTCTGCTGCCAGCGCGCTCTGCTGCCCGCGCGCCCTGCTGCCCGCGCGCCCTGCAGCCCGCGTGCGCCATGCTGCCCGCGCGCCCTGCAGCCCACGCGCCCTGCAGCCCGCGCGCCCTGCAGCCCGCGCGCCCTGCAGCCCGTGCGCCCTGCTGCCCGTGCGCCCTGCAGCCCGCGTCGCCTGCTGCCCGCGTGCGCTTTGTTGCCAACGCGCCCTGCTGTCCGCGCGCGCCCTGCTGCCAACGCGCCCTGCGCGCCCTGCTGCCAGCGCGCCCTGCTGCCAGCGCGCCCTGCTGCCCACGCGCCCTGCGCACCCTGCTGCCCCGCGCCCCGCACGCCCTGCTGCCCGCGCGCTGCCGTATCCGCACGCGCACTGCCCTAGCTACAACAGCTGCCGCCATCACTGCCGCTACCACTGTCGATGCACCTGCCTCTGCTGTTGCTACAGGCTCCCGCTACCGCTACGGCTGCCACTGCAGCCCTTGCGCCGCTGCTTCTGACAGCCACTGCCCATCATGGCCACGCCGCCGGTCTTAGCGGTTGACGCCGACGGACGCCCGTACAGGTTAGGGTTGTGGCTTACGTGCCTGCGCGTGCATCTCCGGCGTTTCATTAGAGATAGCGTCTCTCTACTTGAGCACACGTCGGGGTCACTTCCGACCCCCACGACTCCCACTGAGCCTGCTGCTGACGCTGGCGAGGACGTGCAGAGGCGGTACCGGGCGGACACCCTTGCTTACAGACAGTGGACGGAGCGCGACGCTGTCGCACAGCGTGCCGTCCGAGCTCTCCTGCCGGTCGAACAGAGGGACCACTTTCGACAGGTGACGTCGGCCTAGACTTTGTTCGACGCTGTTGTTAGACACTACTCCTCCCTCTCTCCTGCCACCCGGCCTCTACAGCAGCGGCGTCCGTTTTTAGGGGAGGTGCAGCCGCTGGTCGAGGAGGCGAGTGTAGGTACCAGTACGTCTGCTCCCGCAGGTGGTGCCACTAGTGGAGGCGGTGGTTCTGGGGGTGGTCAGCAGCGGCAGCAGCGTCAGCCGGAGACCCTCTCGTCGTAGCAGCTTAGGGAGTGGGTTTCTCAGCGACGTGTCCCTGGTAGCGTAGAGGCTACTAGTCTAGGTGCCTGTGAGCCTGCTAGCACTGGTACAGCTCCTGCAGAAGCTTTGCACACTTTCACGCTCGACTCAGGCACGACTCGCTGCTTCTTCCGCGACTGCACCACAGTCACACCGCTCACTGCACCTGTCCCGGTCACTCTAGCTGACCCCTCTAGGGGCCCAGTCGTAGCACGCGCCTCCACCGTTCTCCCGTGTCCAGCAGCCCCTTCCTCCCGCTTGCAGGTCTCCACCTCCCCTCGTTCGCTACGAACTTGGTGAGTAACGCTGTCCTCCAGGACCAGTTTGTCAGTGTGACTACTCCTGGGGGTGAGCTTGTGGCAATATGTACGGACTCACGGACTGGCGCCCACCTCGCTTGTTCACTCGGAGACACGGGTCTGGCCTGTACACACTGACCACTGAGTCTGCACAGGTAGCTGCGTCTTGCTCGTGTCGGTTACTCAGGCACCCGTCTCTCCTCTGGCACCACCGTCTAGGTCACCCCTCCCTGCCGCGTCTGCGTAGCATGCACTCCCGTCTCCTTGTCTCTGGCCTCCCCAGGTCCCTGCCCCCGCTCCTGCGGTCGCTTGCACCACCGTGCCTTCCCTGCGTCGAGGGACGGCAACGCGCCGCTCCTCACTCCTCGTTTCTTCCGACCACTGCTCCTCTGCAGACTCTCCACGTGGACGTGTGGGGCCCCGCCCGCGTCCGTGGACAAGACCACGCGCGCTACTTCCTGCTGGTTGTTGACGACTACACGCGCTACACCACGGTCTTCCCCTTGCAGAGCAAGGCGGATGTCCGCGGTATTTTGATCCCCTGGATCCACACTGTCTGTCGCCAGCTGAGCGCGCGGATTCAGCAGGACCTTCAGGTCCTGCGACTGCACTCTGACAGAGGCGGTGAGTTTTCCTTCCGCCTCGTTGAGGACTTCTGTCGTGAGGAGGGCATCGTCCAGTCGTTCACACTTCCTGACTCTCCACAACAAAATGGGATTGGTGAGCGTCGCATTGGCTTGATCATGGAGGTTGCTCGCACCTCTATGATCCATGCGGCTGCTCCCCATTTTGTGTGGCCGTTTGCGGTCCGATACGCCACGCATCAGCTCAACCTCATGCCCCGTGTCTCTGTGCCAGAGTCCTCGCCTACACTGCGTTGGACGGGGGAGGTTGGCGATGCGTCGGCGTTTCGGGTCTGGGGCTCGCTTGCCCTTGTCCGCGATACTACCGCGGGCAAGCTCTCTCCTCGCACTCTCCGCAGCGTCTTCCTTGGCTTTCCCACCGACGCCCCGCCCTGGCAGTTTTACCACCCTGCCTTGCGCCGCGTCCTGTCCTCCCAGGGCGTCACCTTTGACGAGTCGGTTTGCTTCTACCATCTCCACCCCCACGCGTCTTCTCCTGTCCCCCCGCCGCCCCTCTTCCTGGTTCCAGGTTCCCCCCTGGTAGACCCCCTCCCCTCACAGGGTCCTGCTCCCTCAGGTGTGTCTCAGGTCGACCCACCCCCCTTGGTTGAGCCTTTGGAGGTCTCTTCTGACACCTCTGGCCCAGCTGAGGGGGGTGAAAATGCTGCTGACGACACAGTGGCCACACGCCGCTCCCCGCGCTTAGAGACCCCTCCTGGTTTTCCGCCTTGGCCGTCTTCGCCGCCTCTGCAGCCTGTCGCTGTGGACTCCGGTGCTGCTGGGGGTGGTGACACTGGAGGTGCGGACTCTGGGGGTGCTGGTCCTGGGGGTGCTGACTCTGGAGGTGCTGGTTCTAGGGGTGCTGAGTCTGGGGGTGCTGCTTCTGGGGGTGCTGCTTCTGGGGATGCTGCTTCTGGGGGTGCTGCGCGTCCTAGTGGTGGTAGAGTCGTGGGTGCTCCTGCTGGAGGTTCTGGCGTTGGACAGCCGCGGCAGTCTCGTTGACAGGAGACCCTCTCGTCGCAGCAGCTTCGCGAGTGGGTTATTTGGCGAGGCCGCTCTGGTGCTGGTGCTGGAGGTGCTGGAGGTACCGGAGCTGCTGGTGCTGGAGGTACTGGAGCTGGAGGTGCTGGAGGTACTGGAGCTGCTGGTGCTGGAGGTACTGTAGCTGCTGGTGCTGGAGGTGCTGGAGCTGAAGGCGCTGGAGGTACTGGAGCTGCTGGTGCTGGAGGTGCTGGAGCTGGAGGTGCTGGAGGTACTGGAGCTGCAGGTACTGGAGGTGTTGGAGCTGGAGGTGCTGGAGGTACTGAAGCTGCTGGTGCTGGAGGTATTGGAGCTGCTGGTGCTGGAGGTGCTGGAGCTGGAGGTGCTGGAGGTATTGGAGCTGCTGGTGCTGGAGGTGCTGGAGCTGGAGGTGCTGGAGGTACTGGAGCTGCAGGTACTAGAGGTGCTGGAGCTGGAGGTGCTGGAGGTACTGGAGCTGCTGGTGCATGAGGTTGTGGAGCTGGAGGTGCTGTAGGTACCGGTGCTGGAGGTACTGGTGCTGGAGGAACTGGAGCTGGAGGCTCTGGTACTGTGGGTACTACGCACCGGCGACTGTTTTTCTTCCCGCAGCCGCAGTCGACACTGCCACCACCTGACTTGGCACTTCGCCAGGTTCTTAGTCTTCCGTCTTCCACTGGCCTTACTCCACCTCTCCTGTGTCCTCCGCCTGACCAGTCACAGCCGCCGTTACTGCCTGGCTCCCCACTGCCTGCTCCTTCTCCTTACCCTGAGCAGACAGACTCCCTGACAGGATGTCGTGAGCCTGAGTCTCGTCATGCCTCCCCTGTTCGCACTGTCAGTCGTACTCGTCGTCCTCGTCGTCCTCGTCCTCCACCAGTCCCCGGCACACACACTATGTCACTTCGTCCTTCTTCTGTTCCACAGCGTGTTGCTCTGCCGTCTCCTCCGGCGTCCTCTCTTCCTGGCGTTCCTGACCCTGCGTCCGACCTTGCTCAAGCTGCTAGTCCTACTGTCACCGTTTCCTAGCCACATTTGTCACTGACCCTTCCTTTGAGTCTACTGCTGCGTCTGCCTTACTCACTGAACTCGTAGACTTTGCTGCTACCTGTCGTCTCGACTACGTCCCGAGTCTTGTTACTGCGTCTGAGTCTGACTGTCCTCCGTCCGTCGGGGGTGAGCTTGCCCTTGGCAATGACGTCCTTGAGGCGATCCGGATGCACTAGACATCCCGACCCCGCGCACTCACGCAGAGGCGATCACGGGTGAGTACTCCTCTCAGTGGCAGAAAGCCATGGACGCAGAGATGACTTCCTGGAAGTTCACATGCACCTACGTCGACGCAGTTCCCCCTCCTGGGGCGAACATAGTCGATGGCATGTGGATTTTCAGAGTGAAGCGGCCGCCGGGTTCTCTGCCCACCTTCAAGGCGCGTTACGTTGCTCGAAAATTCAGTCAGCGACAGGGGGTCGACTTCTTCCAGACCTTCTCCCCCACCCCGAAGATGACTACTCTTCGGGTATTACTGCACGTTGCAGCAGAGCATGACTACGAGCTGCACTCTCTCGACTTCTCCACAGCGGGCAGCCTTCACGAGGAGATCTGGCTGCGCCGCCCACCTGACTTCACTGGGTCGTTTCCTGAGGGTACCCAGTGGTGTTATGTGATGCTATCATATGCATTCACGTCTGTCTGCCTCCCATCCTATCTTTCTAACTTGCATGCGTGGTATGCGCGTGCGTAAGAATTTATGTTTGGCATGGTTTGGATATTGTGAGTGTGTGTGAATGTTATTTTGCTTGAGCAGATATCTGAAATGACTTCTCTGTTCAAGAGCTTTCCGACGAACCAAGAATTGTCGCGACCGGAGCACGAACGAGAAAGTTATGATCGTTCGAAGTTATGGTTGTGGTGCGGCGACTATGGGAATTTGTGGAGTGACTCTATATGGGGTATGGACTTTTGGGGGTTGGGAAATTCGTCATTTCTGCTGTAGTTGCTGCCAAGAGGTTGGGAGAAGCCAAACCAGGTTGGCAAATATGGCCAAGTTGGGTGAGGTGAATGGCATGGGTTGGGAAAGTGACAAAGGTCAAAATTGGGGTGCCTATAGGGAGGGAAATTGTGTGCTTATGGGGTTTCCTTGGTTGGGGACTCCTTGGGGACCTTCCCTCTCGTCCTCCTAATCCCCTCCTACCTGGTTTCTTGCTACTCTAATTCTCTTGTGTGGTTCTTGGGAGAACAATTGTGATTGAGCTAAGTTTCTGTGGCAGCATAACCCCCGGTGCGCCGAAATTTATAACTCCAGTTTTACTTCACCTATTGATACAATCCAAATTGGGAATTGTAGCTACGGTCTAGGGCTACAACATATCTGAAATTGGTGAAGTTTTAACGGTGAACT